ATCTCCAATGTGCAAGTTTAATGCTGACTGGCAGCACTTCCAGCATGCTGAGCAGGCCAGCAGTTAAGCTTTAAAAAATGGTGGAGGACAAAAGAAATGAATGTTCCAAGTCTGAGAAATGGTTACGGAGCACATGGTCCTGAAAAACCATCATTACATAATTGTGTGGATTTTGGAGTAGAAGCTCGTCAAAGTGTGTGGCTCATTCACACCTTTTATAGACTAGGAGTGTCTTGGCCTGCTCACTTCATGAGTCACTTTTATCTCTGATTTTGATCCTCAGTAATGTGCAGGAATAAGAGCAGCCAGCCTTGTGTTTGCAATGGTTTTCAATTTGCAAAAATTATTTTTACTAACACAGCATTTCTGTGATTATGCAGCTTTCCTCTACTGCCACCTTTCCCTCCCTGTCTTTTGACAGAGTAATTTTGCTTGATTGCTAATTTTATTTCATAAAACTGCCATAAGACTGTTATTTTTCTGATACTTGTCTTTTCCAGATTTTTTTTTTTAATAGAAATTGCTGCTTTTAAGATTGATAGCTATGAACCTTTAGTTTATGTAAATGATATGAATTATAATGGGAAGTCTGGCTTCTTTCCTGATAAAAGTAAGCCTAAAGACAGCATATGGACACCTCATTATTCCACACCCAGCTCACCTTAATTCACACCTTGAAAATGGGGCTCTTGATGGTCTCAATCATCATATCAAGGCTGAAATGTTCTCATTATTCATTTTATCTTCTGACAAATGTGTGAGGAGCTTCCAATACTTATCACATGGATGCTCCAGTTTATTAGTCTTTCATCTTTTTTCTAATCCCTTCTTTCCTTGACAGCACTTTAAAAGTAAAATCCAGGAATGCATGTAGATTTTCCAGTGCTTTGAAATACTGTCTCCAGAAGCAGCATCTGTGTTCCTGAAGGTGTCTCTGCATGAATTTTGGCAGGTTTCCTTGGGCAGGGCATCACTTCCAGCTCAGATGTCCAGTGCTCTCCTCTGTAGCACACCTTGCCAGGCTGCGAAAGATTCCTAGTAAGAGCCTTGGCACTAAGGAAAATATTCTCATATTGATACAGTTTCTATTGCATTTAAAAGTGGGTGAGTGGTGGGACTTTTGCAGGAGTGTTTGAACAGGGAGATGTGGCAGCTGAATCACTTTGAATGCAGCAATTGTGCCTCCTGATCAAGACTAAAGGCTTCTATCATGTTTTGATAGAAGGTGAAGCCTTATTTCTCTGTTCTGTCTGTACCAAACCCAGTATTTTGTGATTGTACCCTTCACAGCTGCTTGCTGTAGTAAGTTATACACAAGATACTTTGATTTAGCTTTCTTAATTTGAGGCAGTAGTCCAAAAAGTGAATTCAGCTCAGTGGTTGCAATATTTAGTTTTTCTCCCCTGGAGTTCAGTTCCCATCCCTCGGTGCTGTAGTTGACACATACGTGTCTGTTTTAGGCGGCAGAAATGTAGGTTGAGCGCTTATCGGGTCACTGCTGCTGTTTAATAAACAGTACTTATCTCCTTGAAGCAACACCCTGCCCTAAATAAGTTTTGCCTTGGGAGTTGAGCCAGAAATAGCTTCCCCCCTTTTTTTTTTTTTTCCCTTTAATTGGATCGTAAAACCCAAATAATTGAAAAAAACTATTTAAGATGAAAATAGAGGGTGGCAATGGTCCTGCTTTCTGGGCAGCTTGGTGCTTTTTTATCTCTGTGAGTCATGCAGGTTATAAAACTGCATTCCCATCTTTCCTCAGGAGTCTGTGCTTCTCTCAGCATTGCATCTTATTCTTAAAAATGGGGCTGAATCCTCACTTTTATTTGCTCTTTGTCACTAAAACTCCAGTGGAGGAATGAATGCAGTAGTGGTGTTGAGCAACGTGTGGTTTGTTGATCCCTGAACACTTAGAGATACGGGTTTGTTATGCCCCTGTGAAGCACTTAACAACCCTATTTTGAAACAGAAGGAGGATGTATTGCTTAATTACAGAATTACTTAATTTGGCAGCTTAAATAGCTTGTGAGGATGTGTGTCCCCTTCCATCATGCTTCTCTTTGTACTTCCAATTTTCAAATTCAATTTTTTTTGTCATTTTGAAAGTTAGTCATAATGTATCAAATATGGCACAGAAAAGAAAGGGCAGTGGAATTAGGATCTGAAAGTAGATACAGAAATGTTAGAAGGCATAAAAATCATTGGGAAGGAGAAGGGAAATCAATATATTGATAACAGTTGTCCAGGTAATAGTGAGTGGTAAGGCAATATGGAATGCAGGGTGTGGATAACAAGAAATGGAAGTGTTAAAATACAGGAGGTTGGACAGAAAATGAAAATATTTTATAATGCATGGTGTTATGGGAATCATGGAAATGCACAAAAATCACAGACTAAAGTTAACGACTAGGACATAATTTTCAAATGGGAACGTTCCATTATGGAAAGATGGGAGTAAAAATGTGTGCAGTGGTGATCTGTAAAGTAAATTCAGCAGCAGAGTGACTGAAAACATATGTGGGAGACAGATTATTTTAAAATTATTGTGGGGGGAGTGGAAATGATGGCAAACAGGATTCTGGAGGAGTAGAGGTGGCTGCTTTGTGCACATCTTCTTGATCAGATTCGGAGGTGGATCACAGAAACCTTTGGTGTATTGCAAGTACAAATACTTGTGGGAGTATTTTTTGCTGTAGTGATAATGCTGTCAATAACTTTGTTAGGTGTCCTATCCACAGCAGAGGATTCTTTCCACTGAATGACACAGTGTGAATTTGGTGTGAATTTGTCACACCAAACATGGGGATATGGTGACTGCAGGGCCACCTGAGGAGTTAATCACCATCAGAAAAACATTAAGTCAGCAGAGGGCCTGGAAGTGTTGGGAAAAGATGAAAATCGATGTCTTAGAAATTAGGATGTGTAGGAATTTAGAAAAAATAAAAAGCCAAAGGTTGAGCAGAATCAGTGAGCTGGGTGCTTTATCTTGTCTTAAGGGATGGAGGTGGGTAAGGTCAGATGCAGAGGCAGATGAGCTGCTCGTGGCAGGACTGGGTTACAGAGAAGAACTAAGGTGATATTTAGCTCCATTTTTCAGGGCAGCTGGTGACACTGCAAAAGCAATGTGGATGAATAATACTCAAATGAAAATTGCTATATTGCCATTTAAGGCAAAACTGAAGTACTGAAACGTGAAGTTTTAGGTTATGGAAATTAAGATCTTCAGCAAGAAACAGCTTTAATGTGTTGATTGAGTTAGTGTTGGAGAACCACAGTCTTTAATGGCAATGCTTGTTAAAGGGAGGGAAGAAAGGAAATTGGATTTCAGTAGCCTGAATTAAAAGGGTGGATGCCTTAGAGCGTGTTTGGGAGACAAGATCAGAAACAAGATTTTCAAAAAATAGTAACAAAAGCCTCTGTCATTTTCCCAATGTCAAATCTGGTGAAGTATTTGGTGCATGGGAAAATTGGTGCTGACTGTTAGTAGGGTGCTAAAAATAGGGAGCTAGTAATGAGTGGGAAACTGGCCATAAGAAGTGTTGAGGGGTAAAGTGGGGAATTCATGCTGCTAATGTTGGGAATAGTCTTATTTCATTAGCAAACATTGCATAAATGTTAGGAATAAGTACATGAAATTTCATCTAGAGATATAGGAGTCATTGTCAGGAAAAGGAGAATCTGAGCATCATTCAGAAAGGTTTGTAGATACAGATTAGAAAAGTAGGTATATTAAAGACAGTACAGCTGGTAATTAGTAAGGAGTTGGGAGATGATCATAAGCAAATGAAATGGGTGCACATGCCCTGAGAGGTCACTGGATGGCCTTTACAAGGCAGGCAAAAGCAGTTTAGGGCTCATTAATCTGCCTTTTCCCATTGAGAGATGGAAGCACCAGTGTGGTTATCACTTAGTCTTCTTCAGGAAAAATGACTGGAAGGATGAAGCCTGATTTATAAGCAGGGACTAACAGAAGGAGTATAGCCTAGCATTTAGTATTAAATGCTTTGGTTTAAATCTAGAAGTACAGCCAGGAGTACTCAATATGAAGGCCACCGAATATAACCTGCCAATGAGTGAATAAAAATGGAAGGATGTTTTCTGAGCATTAGAGCATCACAATTCTGGAACAGCTTTCCAGTAGAGAAAGCCAGGGTAGAAAAGTGGTGACTAATTTGTTAATGAAGGAATGTGAATTGTTTCTGGTGCTAGCAGAGAACTGAATTTGATAATCTTGGAAAGCCACACCTGGATTCTTACATAAGTAATGAGAAACCACATGGCTTTTTTCACATGTGAAGCTTTTGCTGCAAGTTGTTGCTCCAGAGCACAGAACACCTGAGCACTGAGGCTGCAGAAGTTTTGAATACTCTAGTTGGTACCTTACACACTTCTCTGTGCATTTTTAATGGACTTTCCTGGATTGAAACAACAGCAAGCAGCTATTGTGCTTCTGCTTCATGTTGTCTGAGCAACAGCTGATGTTTGAGCTCAAGAACTGAGCACAGCAGCAGTAGAGTATTTGCTCTGTGCTCTGTGTGAAGGAAGCAGTAGGATATAGTTCAGTTCTAATACAGAATTTGTCAGACAGCTGCAACATGGAGGAAAGTGGTGGAAACTCTATAGGTGTTTGCTCAAATGGATGTGGTTAGATCTGTTTTAAAATGAAAATTATTCCCTGCAAGGAAGATCTTGGTTCTTGCTTTCCTGCTTCGCCTGTGAAATTCCCACCCAGCTGTCTTGTGGTATAGGAAAATGCAACTGATTTTAAGATTTTTTTCCAGTTTGGGCTAGGAAATACAACAAATTGTGAACCAGTATGAGAAAGAAAGAAAGAGAAGAAAGGATTCATGGTCTCCTGAAAGCAGAGTTTGGGCTTTTTTTTCATTTTTAGGTTGTTTAAAAAGAGTCATGGTTTTAAATGTGGTGGTCCAATAGCCTGTAAGTTTTCTGAAATGTCAATTTGAGACAGCTGATAGCTAAGTTGTGCTTTTTCTCTTTTGCAGTGCTCACACCTCCTCCTCCATTGCCACCACCAATACAGGGATATGCCTTTAAACCTCCTCCTCGACCAGATTTTGGCACTTCTGGGAGAACAATCAAACTGCAGGCCAACTTCTTTGAAATGGACATTCCTAAAATAGATATCTACCATTATGAATTGGATATAAAGCCAGAAAAATGTCCTAGAAGAGTTAACAGGTAACACACTGCGCTTTGCCTTTCCTTAGTTTATTTGCAGTCTTGATTTTCTTTGAAAAAGCTGGAGCCAGGTGCCCCCACTGATGTCTGGAAAGATGTGTCTGGCTTTGATCAGTGATTGTACTTATCACTTCCATTAACAGGATATGCATATCCTTTGTTTTTTTTTCCCCCTACAAATCTTTACTTGGATTGATTTTGCTAGAATATTGAGATGCTGCTGATTGAAGCCACTGGTGGCAGATGGATAAACTGTATTAGCTCTATTGGAACTGGGTCAGTATAAGCCAACTTGATAAAAATTATTTATTGTTACCTGTTTATATATTGGAGTGTAATTGGCTGAAGTCCTTCAGCAGGGAGCTGGTGTTACCAGCTTGTTTTCCCACCTTTCCCTCCTCACAAGAGGAGGCAAAACCTGTTTGTTTGGGGGAAAGGATTATGGAGTTACTAAAGCAGGTAAGAAATTATCCTTTATCAGTAGATTCTGTATAAGGGAAAACTGCTCCTGAAACAGATAGCAAGATGAAAACATGGATCAGCTGGCCAGGGAAATAAGCAGCCAGGTCTTGCATTTGGCATCTGTACCCTGTTAGAGTGTGGAACTTCATTGACTTGAAAAAGAAGTGGCATTGCCAGAAGTGAAACTTGAGAATGAGACTTGGCACCAACTGGAAACCACAAGTGTCATCATCATAACTGCACCTTGACTGTAGAGAATTGTAATGGCTTGTTTATATATTCAAGAGCAAAGCCTTTCCTTGTTAAAAAAGGTCACATGGGTGGAATATGCAGTCATGAAAATAAACAGTGTGGAGTCAAAAAAGCCACCTGAAAGCCACAGTTTTCCTAATGTGAATTAATAAACCTGAGGGCATTCTCCATTGTTACACTGAGGAGTTGGTAATGATAGTGTTTTCACAAAGCAGCATCACTGTGCTTTGCTGCTCTGGGGTTTTTTTTTCCTTCCTGTGATGATCTATTATAAGTTTAATTTTTCAGCTAGTCAAGAGCTGAGGTTAATATTAAAAGCAAACACCTTTGTTAACTGAATGGAGCTGAACTCTCTTCTTGCCCAAGGGCAACTGCTGATTTCACTGAGATGCTCTTCCTGCACTGGAGCACTGCAAAACACTTGGAGCAGTCACTTTTTTCATAAGAGGAACTATGAGAGCTTTGCTTTCCTTAACTGCTCTCCCTGCCACCACTCCAGCTCTGCCAGCTGCTGCTGGCTTATCCAGATTGTTTCTGCGTCTCCTCTGGGAGCCAAATGCTGCACAGCTTCTGTGTGAGCACCTCCCTTACAGTCCAGTGTGGGAGTGCTTGCCACAAAACCTAAAGCAGTTTTTCTCACTGGAAAGGAAGATTCTATTCAGTAGCAAGTTCTTCCTCCAGTGCCAGCCCCTGACCTTCTCTGCTTGGTCAGGTTAGTCACTCCTCTTTTGTGGTGACAGGAGCAGGTAGATATCTACTCAGATGAAATGCCTTTTGCAATAAGCAGAGATGCCATAGATGCATTCAGCAGTGGTGTGGTGGATGTTTCTCAGTGTGGTAAGAATACAATTTGGATTCACATACTGAAGTGTTTTTTATTTCTTTTGAGTGCTTAGTGCTCTATTCTGTAGATATACCTGTACTCAGATGCACCTGGGTTTCTGTGAGCTGGGACCTTTTGGTCCTATGTCTACCTGTATTTCTGTGTGTACAGGATTATTATAATTATGCAGAATCCACATGTAATCCAATTCTGAATGATGTTTTCATTCAGACACAGCTGGCTTACAGGTTTCTAGTATTTTGGTTATATAATTCACATCTATATAGTAAGTATTGCTTTATATGACATAACCTCTACAAAGAGGAGAGGGAGATTTTGTTTTTTACTCTACTCCCTCATCTGTGTCAGCTTTGTTCTTCAGTTTTACTCCAACTTGTGCTGTGACCGTGCAGACCCCACTGCAGGTTGTATCCCCTGTACATGCAAGTTCCACACTGAGACATGAGCAGGACTGGAAAATGCAGCTAGGACAAGGTGCTCCTGAATTAATACAATCTGGCTACAATTCTGTACATGTGACAGAAAGTCCAGATCTATTTGGGTAGTTGGACAGGCAAAGTGGACAGTGTGAGTTTGGTTCTGCACTGTGGGTGCTCTCAATTTAATTTTTGAGGATTTGTGCAAGGTGAACTCTGCAGTTGCCAGTCCAGGGTCCTTGATGAGCTTGCATGAGCTTGGCAGAACAGTCATCCCAAAGGGCTGAAGTTAGTGAAGTGGTAAATAACTCTTCTTTTAACTCTGCATGGAGAAAATAACTTATATTCATTAAAATATCACCACCCACAGCTGAGAAGCACCATTGCTAACTGTTGATGTGGTTTGAAGCTTGAAAACATTAATTAAGTGGAAGTATTCATTTTTTATATAAAGCAGTTGACAATCGGAAGAACTTGCTCAGGAAGAGAGTGGGATTTCCATGCTCAATCTTAAAAAACTCAAGGTTGAAAAATACCTTCTTCCACCCTCTCACCCTCCCAGTAATGTACTTGTTCAGTCAGACCCTGCAGATCTGAGGCAGATATTACTGGGCCAGGTTCGATTCATGCTTTGCAGGAGGTCAGGGTTTCTTTCAGTGGCCACATCTTATTTTAAGATAAACCCTGTGACACAGCAAAGAAATTGCCAGTTAAAACAGAATTAATTCTTTTCTCGAATGAGTTCAATTTCATCTCAGATTTTGCAGCACCATAATACCTACCTGAGCGCTGGGTTAATTACCTTGCCAAGTCAGGGTGCATGAACAGTCACCTGCAGCAACTGTGAGCAGGTGGTTGTCAGCAGTGCTGCAGGAGCAGGGCTGTCCTTTCTGTGTGTTACTTTAACCTCTTAATGCCCTTTTGCCCCTGTGTGTTAAGATTGTAGCCTGCTGATGGATTTTGGGTATTGCAGGTAGACTGAAGGATGTCTCTCTGGGACATTGGGACCAAAGGACCTTTGGCATCAAAGAGTGTTATTATTCCAGCTGACCTCTCATTGACTGCTGCTTTGAATGACCAGTGTGTAAACACTGTGGTTTGACAAGATCTGTGTGAGTGGTTTCCCCATTCATACAAAAATGGAACCTTATTCCAGCTACTCTTAAATGAATGTGTACTTTTAATATTCACAGTTCCACTGAATGCACATGCCCAGTTTTGTTAGATGGATCCCAGTTTTGTTGTGTGTATGAAAAAAAAATGCATTTAAAAATTATTTTTCTCAGGGAGCTGCAAAATGTTTCTCTATTGTTGTTGGCATAAACTGCTGCCCTGTCATTGGGGCTGTAAGCTGGAATAATGGTATTTTTGAAAGCTTCTCAGGCTGCTGAGCTTTAGGTCCAGGGTCCTCTGAAGAAAGGGCTGTAGGACAGGGGAGCTGAAACCCCAGGATCTACTGCACACCTCTTGTTTTGAGCTTGAGAGAGCGTGAGCTTTCACTTCACCACTTCCAGTAGGTCACAGAAAAGAGGAAGGAAAGTTTAAATCTGAAAAAAAAAACCCTAAAAATAGCAGTTTTAAGAAAACAGTTTAGTCTGTGAAAAAGTTGCTTTCAGTTCAGATCAGTCAAACAAATCCTGCCTTTAATAGAAAGGAGTGGACAACTCTTTCATTTACCTAATGCCTCTGTTGGTAAATATTAGTGTTAGTACTTGTCTGCTACTTAACATTCAAAGTAAAAAGTTGGATTAACTTAATCTTTTTGCATTTTCAGAGAAATAGTGGAGCATATGGTTCAGCACTTTAAAACCCAGATTTTCGGGGATCGCAAACCAGTGTTTGATGGAAGAAAAAACCTTTATACAGCTATGCCACTTCCCATTGGAAGAGATAAAGTAAGTTTTAAATAGAAAAATTTCTAGAGATTTTAATGTGGTGTTTGCAGAGTATTTCTAACAACTAATAGAAACTGATTTTCTGTTTTTGATTTTCAATTTCTGGAGTGGATGTCTCTATTGTTGCCACTCTGTTCAGGGTGTGTTTTGCCAGGACACAAGTGTGAGCTTGTTGCTATCCCAGTGGTCACTCTGTTTTATATCCCTTCATTCCCCTCTCTCTTTCACTGGTGTGGTTTCTGCTACTTTAGGAAGCTGGATCAGCTCCCCCAGACAGCAGACAGTCTGCAGACTGGCACTAGGGAGAAAGTGAGAGCACAGTTGAGTGTGGGACAGGAGGGAAAATAACTGTTCTGGGCAGCAAGAAGCTGTTGTGTCACCTCACTAATCTCATCAAGGCCCACTCTAAGCTTATTCTCGCTATCAGTAGCTGGAAGAAGCTCCTCCATCTCTCTGTTGCCTATGTTAGAACCTCTCCTCCCTAATTCTTGATGACTGAGAGCCAAATTAATCTTCACTGCACTGGTTAAGACACGCAATCTTTGCCCCAGGGCAGCTGGAGAGGACTGCGGTCGTGTTTGCCAGCTCCCGGTGGGGCAGTGACCTCTTTGGGCTCTGCTTGTGGCTGCTCCTGTGCCCATTGACTGCTGGGGTGGAAGGGACTCTGTTGGAACATGCTAACACACAAGCCCTAGAAAATAATTTAGCCTATGCATCTGTGATCTAACAGGAGATTGAATTTTCTGTGCTTTTTTTTTTTGTTCAGGTGAGTCCCTGAGGGAGGGCACAGTCATTCTGGTTGGTACTGCAGTAGTTCCCTTCTGCTGTAGGTGCAGTTACAGGGGAGGACTGTTCTATCTCCTAGGAGTTGATTACAATTTACATAGGCAAAAATAAAATGTAAGGGGAGGAATAGAAATACAGAGAAATGGGGAAATTTGGAACCATTCAGGTCCTCTGAAATTCAGCTGCTGTAGAATAGTTCAGGCTTTCTTTTGCTGTCTCATTGGATGGCTATGCAATGCTTGACATAGTTACTAGTTCTACCTGAATCAAGCTCTTAATCTCATATGTGTAATTTTTATTTCCTCCCAATCTGTTTAAGTGAATGCCATGCAGTAAAGGTCAGTCTCTACTCTGGTGTTAATTACATTTCAATAACTGATAAAGTAATGTCTGGGAAAACGATAAAGGAATCATTAAAAGTTTTAGCTTTTTTTTCTGCTTGCTTTCACATACAGTATTCCAGTTCCCACAGATTTAGCAGACAAGACTGCAAAGTATTTGTCAAAGGTGGAAGGATACTTGGTGAGAGTATCTTAGGGTTTTAAACAGCTCTGGATATGTGCAGAGCTGCCTTGTAATACTTTAGAAGTTGTGGATGATTGACAATATATATTATGACAAGTATGAAGTTCTGCATTTAATATGTGGAGGTAAATAAGAAATAGTTTTTTTTATACATGATAAACAGGGGTCAAATAAATCCTCAGATCTGATGAGACTTTGTAAGATGCAAGTTGACCCTTCTTGCTCTGATAACCATTTTGAATAGGACAAAGTTAACAAAATTTTGCAAGTCAGCCTTTTCCCAGGTGTAGGTTACAATGTTCATTTGCACAGACACAGAGTAACTGGGGCATCAAGAGCATTTTCTGCTACCACACTGTCCCTAGGCTTTGGTTTTACCATGTATATTTTAGCGTGTGTGGGATTTAAACTCCAAAACATCAGGAATGGAGTCCTGCTTGGTCAACAGGCATAGGCACAGAAGGAACATCTCATCCAAGAAATTATCTCATCCATTCCCAATCTTGCCAGAGCAGTTATCATTTGGAGTGGGTGGTCACTGAGTGTTTGTGGTGGAGTTTAGCACGAGGTAGTTGCAGGTGGTTTCATCTGTGGCTCACACCTAGGTTCACTTTCAGTAAACTCCAGTTTTTCCCATGGTTTTAGGGCTTTGTCAGTTGTTCTGCTGTACATATATTAACGTTACCCTGGAGGAAAGAGCTAATAGAGATAAATCTTAAGCTGTTTTAAAACAGACATGGGGAAATTTAGCTTAATGAAGGAAATTTTTACATGGTGCTAAATTGGTTTAAGCATGATTTAAGCCACTATAAAGCTTGTAGGTATTAGGACTTTCCTCCACCATAATTAGATTATGTTTCTTTGGTGGGTTTTTTGTTTTTTTGGTTTTTTTTTTTTACTGTTCTGTACATAACAAATGTAGCAAGTTCACTGCACATCTGATTGCATTTAGGATCATATTGAAAAGATTCATGAACATACAATGATTAATCTCTGTGGAAGATCTTAATTGACTGGCAGTATGCATTAGTAGTGGAAAAACTAATGCTAAACAGAGGGTTGACACCAAATTGCAGAAAGTTTTTTCCCCTCCTGTTGCTCTTTTAAGTTAATTAATGCACTCTGTCCTCATCTCTTCTTGGTTGTGGTTGTTCTGGGTTTCTTTTTTTTTTGGTCCTTGCTGGCAGCTCTGCTTCTTTTATAACTTTTTGCTCTATATATATATACTTCTTGGCTTTTGTGGTTATCAAATCTTTTTTCATTCCTTCCTTAGTGTACCTTATTTTCGCTCTTTAATTTCTTCATCTTTTTAGACCTTTTAGACAGATATAGAATATGTAAATATTAACATATTTTCTTAGTTTTTACTTGTACACATTGAGAAGAAAGGAGTGTTTAGGACACTATCAAGGTAGGAAGATATTAAAAGTCTCCTCTTTCTACACAGCAAACCCAAGTCACCTCTAATAGCAGCTTTGTATTCAGTTCCTGCTTTACTTGTGCGTTTCCCTCAAAATATCCTTCTACAGTTAAAAGCTGGAATTTAATTTTACCTGAACTTTGAAGTTTTCTCAGCTAGCAAGATTCAAAAGCAACTGATGTATCTTAACCTACATCTTCATTAGTGTTTTATTAGAAAAACAGTAATTACAAATGAATACAGAAATCCTGCTGCTACTCCCTTTTCCAGAAGGAAAATGTTAATCCTGTCTGTGGCCACACACTTGCTCCTCTGACTTTGTCTTTCTGAAGTACTGCTAAAGACTCTGCACATGACAGAAGCAGAGCTCTTTCCTACATCCACAGTTTGTTGTTAATCTGTTTTTCTCTGAATCCCTGAGAAGGAAAAGCTCTTGGATTAACAGAGAAAAGGTACATTGTATGCTCAGAGCATGATAAAATAATCATGTGATGTTACATTTAATTTATGGAGAAGAAGAAATACTAAGAATTCCTCAGAAACACATGGTCAGGTTTAATCTATATTTTTTTTAAACAGTGATAATACTGATTTGTGTGAGTCACTCAGACCACATCAGCTTCAAGACCTATTCTTTTTAAGGATAGCTTTGAAACTTTCTGTAGGCTTAATGATTTTTTTCATATAGCTCCCTTAGCTGCAAAACTGTCAGTGCTGTTGCGATTTAGCAATTTGGTGGGTTGACCAGGTAGCATCCTTACATTGTAAACTTTTTTTTTTTAATTTGGGGATAGAGAATAAAACAAATCTTATATTTTGCTTTAGGATTTATCCCTAATAGTAAAGGACATAGTAAAATTCCCATCTAAAACTACTTTGTCCTAATTTTTTCATATTTTGCTCACTTTGTCAAACATAAGCATGTTCATTTGTCCTCAAAAGTACAGAGTGATATAAATAAAATATTACTGAGAGAGGAAAAATTCTGATTAGCAGTGCCTAAAAGTATATGTGAACTTTCGGGATGTGAATTAAGGACATTTTCATTATTTTCTTTAATAGGATGAGATATTTAATTAATAAAAAATAACAAAACAGAAATAAAAAAATAAAAAACAAAAAAAATCACAGGAAAGTTTAAATATAACTTCAAATTTAAACTTAAATAACTTAAATATTACTTATTTTAGCAGTGACTCGTAATTCAACTCATTTGGAGTTAGACCCAGCAGCAAAAACTGTTTTGGGCCAAATCCAGCAGTCACAGCTCTGCTAACTTTTACTGGTATTTGCAGGCGGGCACCTGCAACAGAAATTCTTCAATCCTGGGACTTTTATTTCCACCAGGGACAAGGGTACTGCAACATAGGTTCCTCTTCATCTCCCATTCCATCATGATGAAGGAATTTCGTAAATTGATACCATGAGAGGAAAAGAAGTAAAATTAAATTTATTTCTTTCCTTTCCTTTCCTTTTTTTTTTGGTTTTTTTTTTTTTTTTGTTTGTTTGGATTAAGGGCATCACAGTGTTTAATAATCAGATAAGTTGTGTATTACCAGTATTGGGAATAAGCACAGAGTGGTTGGGGTGTGAAGGCACCTTGAAGGCCGTCCTGTTCCAAGCCCCTGCCATGGGCTGGGACACCTTCCACTAGACCAGGCTGCTCAAGCAGGAATGATGAAACTTGATTTGGAGGAGAGGTTTAAAGGAAAATACAGGTCAAGTGTGACAGACATCTTCTGTCTGCTGTAAATGAGTTGCAAGTTGAGGACTCTTTGATAGTGTGGTGGAAAAAAGAGTTAATGGAAAGCTTCCAGCTGGTGTGAGCTGAAGATCTGTCCCTTTCTTTGCACAGCTTTCAGCAGGGTTCATCTGGGCCAGACTCAGAGCAGTGACCCCAGGATTAGACTCAGTTCCCATTGCTTCCCACAGCTTTGCAGCTCCTTCCTCTGCTCGAGTTTCCCTGGGGAATGATGTTTGTGCTGAAGGATAGATTCAGCTGTAATATTAATCTGTGTGCCTGCTATAGATGGACAACCCATTTTTGGGGGCACACAGGAAGGCTTATTATTTGTGTTTTATATTTCCTTCCTATTTTTGGACCAAAGAAACAAATTGTTACAAGAGACCAGATGCTGGCAGATACTAGTTTACTGTTAGCCACCTATAATTTTTGCTAATTACAATTTGCCTGTTAACTGGATGCCTTTTATATTTAAATTGCAAGCTCCCTAGCAGGGGAAAATGCAATGTTTTTGTTGGTATCCAGCACAAAGGATACTCTGATCTTGTTATTTCTTGTAGTCACTCCCAGACCTCCTGATCACTTCAGACAAGCCTTAATTTTAGTCGGCTTAAAAACTTTGGTGCTCAGACTTCCTTTGTTTTAAGAAAGAGGAGAAATCAGCATTGCAAATAATTACAAGTAATTGGCTTAAGTAATTTACCACGATGTAGTTTGCCACTGTTTTTAGACAAAAAAATCAAAGTAGAGCATAACATGGCAAAGAAGTGCCCCTGTTTCCTATCTGATACCATCACTGGTACTTGGGGGTTGTAGTTTATTCTTTCTTTTCTTAGTTTAAAAGTAAGAGTTTTTGCTTGGTGGCTTTTGTGGGTTTTTTGTTTTGTTTGGGCAATTGATGATTACTTTTTCTCTTTTAAAACTCCTTTCTTCTCTTGTTTGAACTGTGTCTGCAGCAACAGCATGTGAAGAACTCTGGTGCTCTCAAGAGCAAATACCAGAAATTCATGAATCTTGGCAGGTGGTGACATCCCATGCTTTACTTGAGTCATGCAGGAGCTCACATGAGCAGTGATGCACTGGGACGTGTTAGGGATCTGAAATCAGGTCATGGGATCTTCGCCGAGACCTCCCCGTTGATACAAGTGCCTCCAAATTCCAGTGTTGCCTCACAAAGGAGATAGATGCCAGCTGGGAAGCACTCCAGGCTTCTGAAATACCCCTTTGGGAAGATGGAGCTGTAAAAAGAGGCTGTACCTACTGTGTGCTGTTACTTCATCCTTGCTTTTTGTCTCCTCCTCTGCTTGTGGCGCTGTTCAGAGGAATCTATTGTCCCTTGTGATTTCCCCCCTTTCAATGGAAAGAATCATCTTGGTTTGTTGTTTGGCATTGTTGCAGGTGGAGCTGGAGGTCACACTGCCAGGAGAAGGAAAGGACAGGATATTTAAGGTGGCTATAAAGTGGATGTCCTGTGTGAGTTTGCAGGCTTTGCATGATGCCCTTTCTGGCCGGCTGCCGAGTGTCCCGTTTGAGACCATCCAGGCCCTGGATGTGGTGATGAGGCACTTGCCTTCCATGAGGTGAGGGGAAGCCCTTGAGGTGCTTTAGGTGTGACTTGGGTGCTTTGGTGGCTCTTTGGGTAGTCTGTGTGGCAGTGGCAGGCTCAGGTGAGGCCATCGGTGCTTTCCTGCTCACCCAGTGGAATTCAGAGCCTCCAGCCTGGACATGAGAACCTTTCCCCAGAGGTGTCAGACTGGCCCCATGTTTGTGTACTCAGGTCAGGGGGGCTCTGCCATCTCCCTCTTTCCTCTGTAGCCTTGGAGAAGGAGGCTCTCCCTGAGTGGGAAGTGCTTGGAGCTTGGTAGACTTGTAAGGGTGGATTTAAAACAGATTCTTACCATGCTCCTGTGTGTCCCCGGACAGATGTTTATTGCAAATTTTGTATAAAGGTTACAGTGCTAGCGAACATTAATGTCACCCTGTGTGGCTATTCTGATAGGAAAGAAAAAGTTGAAAATTATTTGTTTGTTTTTCAAGTGGAACCTATAGCATTTTCAGTCACACCCAAGAGATAGTGGGCTTAATTCTGCTGCCGTGGCATGAGTCACTTAAGACCACTGTGCAAATTATATTCAGTTAGAAAGCAAAGAACAAAGTTTATTAGGGCTGAACTTTCCCATATCGAAGCTCTAAACAGATAATGAGTTTTGTATATGTAAATTACTTTAAATAGCCTTACAGTATGTTGACTTTATCCTCAGACTTAGGATAGGAAAAAATAAAATTACTTTAATCAGGTTTTACAGCACAGAAAACAGCCCAGAATGTCAGATACCTTTGCTTAGAGGAACACATTGGCTCTGGGTATGATTTGTTTGCTATTAAGTTTGCAGTAGTTAATTATCAAGATGAAAGATGGATCAGAAATAATTTTTAGATCACTTATTTACCCTCACATAGTGCCTGTAATTCAGAATATGGGGAGAGATTGTTACATTGGTTTTAATAGCAGGGACTTTTTTCTTCTCTTACGGAGGCACAGTTGAAGTTTTAATAGAATACAAATAAAAAGTTATTAATGCTTTTTTGTTGGAATTAGTAGATATATTAAGGAATATTCTGAAAATAAATTTAAACTTGAGTAGTAGGCAGTTTCTTGCTGTAACAAGCTGGGTTTTGAGAGCTGTAACCTGAGCCTTGCCAGGAGTCTCAGATTATTGGTAATGTTAATCACTGACATTTCTCTGCTCTCGTGAAAAATAATTTGCATTAGTTATGGCTTTATTGCAAATTTTGCTTTAGTTTTCTGATGTGACTTTATTTGCTTTCTTGCAGGTATACTCCTGTGGGGAGATCTTTCTTTACAGCATCAGAAGGGTGCTCAAATCCTTTGGGTGGTGGCAGAGAGGTTTGGTTTGGCTTCCATCAGTCAGTCAGACCTTCATTATGGAAAATGATGTTAAATATTGATGGTAGGTACTAGGAGGTATTTTCTTGTTTCTTTTTGCACCTTAATGGGAAGGCAAAAATTTAGTTCCATTTGTTGGATTTCCTAAAAATTTCCTCTGTGTTGTTGTAACACACCATTAATGTTTTTGTCTGCAGTGTCTGCAACTGCATTTTACAAAGCACAGCCAGTTATTGAGTTTGTCTGTGAAGTTCTGGACTTCAAAAGTATTGAAGAACAACAAAAACCTCTGACAGATTCCCAAAGGGTAAAGTTTACCAAAGAAATTAAAGGTAATAAAGAAATTATGTACAGCTGTTTTATTCTGTCTGTTACCACTGTGTGTTTTAAATATTTTCTACAGCAGTTGCCTTATTGGGAGACAAAAATGTCATATTTTCATATGAAACCTATCAGTAGTACCAATCCCAGTTTCATGACAAGAATATTCCAATTCCTAATCTGATTTCTAAATGTTTACAAAGACTGGTATTTCATGTTTTTTTAATTACCCAGTCTTAAATTTTTCCAATTACAGATGTTGGGTTTTTCATATTTTAGATTTTACTAATAATTTACCAGTGTGTTTTTACATACTTAGGCATCTGTGCTGCATATACTCTCCTGGAAGTAAATAACAGTAGTGTGTAGTGACTGAATCAAAGAGAACAGGAGGAAGAAATCTTACTGGTTTTGTTCACCGAAGGCTTCTTCTGCAAAATGGAGATATGCCTGATACTTCTGGCAGAAAGCAAGCAAATTTAAATAGACCAAATCCATAAATCCATCCTGTACTTTCCTTTTGTGTTTTCAAAACACATCAACAAAATTATCTTTGCCCAACTAGAAGTTAGCAAGAAAAGTGTAAATAAATCCTGAGTTGGCATTGGTTGTAAATGTTGTGAAAGGATAATCAGGCACTGAATTGCTTCACCATGGCCTCGTTCCCATGAGCTCCTAGAGAGGCTGTTTGGGGATTCCACTCCACCCACACCCCAGTTCATTAGCTCAGGCTGGGCTTCAAGAACTTGAGGTCTTACAGACCTTGTATGTTTAGACAGAAAATATAAATAAGGGGTTTTGTTTCAAGGAGCTTGTGTGCCCTTTTTGTCCTTTCCCCATTCTGGGCTTCCTTAGAGGTACAGAACTGGAATTTGCAGAATGTGCTCAGTGTCATCTGTGAGCTCTGGGGGCTTTGGGATTTCATCTTGTCTCTGGAATTCTGTGTTGAACTTTGGCTGAAGGTCAAGAGTTTTGAATTTTAAGACTCTAAATTGCTTTTTGAGTTCTGTCTGGGCTACCCTTTGGGGCTAAATAGAATGTGTTCAACTGGTCTCGTGTAGCAGTTTAGGGCTGACACTTTGATTTTGGAGAAATGGTGATTTGTGCTGTCCAATTTTTAGGTCTGAAGGTGGAGATAACACACTGTGGACAAATGAAAAGGAAGTACAGAGTGTGCAATGTCACCAGACGACCAGCAAGTCACCAAACGTAAAGTATTTTTCTGCTTTTTAAACATGTGTTTGATCTCAGGCTAGAAAAATATCTTGCCTGCCTTACTGAGGTGGGAAAAGTTACCTTTAAAAATTATGCTTTCTTTGGTTAATACCCTTAAATATACCTCAAAGTATTTTTCCAATTTTGCTCCTCTTTTTGTTCTATTTTTATACTATAGTAAGTATCATGGCATTTGAACCAATTGCACTGTTTTAGATCTGGGAGGGTTTTTTTGTTGGGTGGGTTGTTTTTTTTCTGTCATTTATGGATTTCTTTAAAGTTGGAAGGACAGGGTGTCTTATTTGTAACTTAATGTTTCCCTCAACTGGAATAAAAAAGTTGTGCCAGTTGGGATCAGCCTCCTGATGTTGCTTATTTGCAATATCTTTTTCCTCTGGAAAAAATGTTTCTTTTTAACTACCAACCAGAGAGTTGCAGATAAGTTGAATATGGAGACAGTGATTTCCATTTTTAAGGAAGTAATATAAGGAACAAAACTGATACCAGCTTTTTACAAAAAGATAACTGATCAGTATCTGAATCTAGTATTTAATCATATGGGCTTTGTTTCATCCTCCTTTAATAAGCTTAACTTGTGCCAAGAAGTGTACTGAGGAACTGTAGAGGAAGCATGTTGCATGAAGTAATAACTGCTTTCCATATTTGCTTTCCTACAGGTTCCCACTTCAGCAGGAGAATGGACAAACAGTTGAATGCACTGTAGCTCAGTATTTTAAGGACAGGCATAAATTAGTTTTACGCTACCCTCACCTTCCATGTTTACAAGTTGGACAGGAGCAAAAACACACATACCTTCCTCTGGAGGCAAGTAAACTCATAGGGAATTCTGTATTTTGGGGCTGGAGGAAGGGGGTCCAAGGGAAAAAGGGTTTAAATGTTGGCAAACTGTTTTCTGAGCAGCCAGATTTGGAGAAATTCTGTAGTGCGTCAGTGAAAGAAAAGCCGTGAGCCAAAAAACCACTTGGATTGTGTTTAATTTTCTTTCTGTGGGGAAATTTCAGGTGTGCAACATAGTGGCAGGACAGAGATGCATAAAGAAACTCACTGACAATCAAACTTCCACTATGATTCGAGCCACTGCCAGATCAGCCCCGGACCGGCAGGAAGAGATCAGCAAATTGGTGAGCGTTGTGTCAAACGTGAGGCAGGTGTAGGAATGAGCTTAATTTTGCTTAACCTGAGCAGATACTGACTGATGTGTTTGTGCACTGCACGCAGGTTATGAGCTTGGTTTTATCCATTTTTATCATTTCAGATGCGGAGTGCGAGTTTTAACACCGACCCTTATGTCCGAGAGTTTGGGATAATGGTCAAGGATGAAATGACGGATGTGACTGGCAGAGTCCTACAGCCTCCCTCAATCCTCTATGGAGGCAGGGTATGTACTGGACTGGCTTCTGTACAGTCTGTGGTGGCTTCTAGCACCAGATGTGATGGCCTCTGTAATGTGGTTATTTTAAATGAATTGTGTGCAGTGAGAGAGATGTCATGGGTGTATTGTTCAGAATTTAAATTTAGGGTCTCAAAGTCCTTAAATGTATTGGCCAATTTGCATCTCTCTCAATTGCTGTTTTATTTCTGAAAGTAAAGCTGGGTTAAAAATGCTTTTTTTTGCCTCAAGCACTCTTTCATTGTGTGTTGCAAGAAGCAGCGTGCAAATAGTGGTTCAAATCAATGTGTATGGAGAAGAACAAAGACCGTTTCAATTATCACTGTATATATTTGAAAATATGCTGAAATATTCCTGAACTTCTGGTTGATTTTGAATGTTCTGGGAGGAGCAGCTGTATTAAGGGCAGTTGTCTTGAGGTATCATCTATATCAGCATGTCTTTCCCCAGACCCATCTCTTCCTGTTTGGAATATTTCCCCACAGGTTTTTATTTTACTATGGCTTTTCAGATGGTCCTTCTGACATAATCTTTCTCCTGCAATATATTTTAAAAACAGCTTGAGAGACAGGATTTTTTCATCAGTTACATACTTTGACTTATTGCAAGATGAAAAACTTTAATAGCTGGGGTAACATCATTTGTGGAGGCTTTTGATAAACCTCTTCAGATCATGCATTGCCAGCTGAATATAATTCTGTCCCTGTGCACAACAGACTGGTGCCTCCAAACCCATCATGGGAGAGGATCCTGAGTTTTCTGCCTTAAATTCTTCAAATGACTCAGGCAAATCAGCTCAAACCTCCCTTCACTGGCAGGTTAAGGTACCCCAGGCCTGACCCTGATTAGGGGACTGCTTTCATGAACTATTCTGGCACCAGCAGGTTGGGGGAACTTAATGGCAGATGAATGTTGGAAAGTCATAGTAGGGGAGGCATTTCCTACAGCACACACAACTGTGCAAAATCCATATCAGATTCATGTGTGTGTCCTGAAAAATGCCCAGAAGCTTTAGTTGTTGCTGCTAGGTGAGAAGGAAGACATCATGGTAACTTGTCTAAAGCATCTGTCAGTATTTATTAAGGTAATTAACATCACCAGAATTACTTTAGCTGCTTTATTACATCCCTTGTCCTCCAGATAATCCATCCCAGTGATACCTGCTTGGTGGGAGAAATAAGTGTTGGGCAGGTCCAAGCTGAATTAGTGATTACCTTTCTCAGCTTTTTCACATTTTTTCCTGGAGTTGTGTGAGTGACAGTGAACCACTATTTCCCTCTACTTAGTGATGTGTAAAATATTCATAGTACTTAAATTAACTTTTCCTTGGAAAGTTCACTGAGCAATTGTAAAGTCACTGTAGAAATGTAGGTTCTTGTTAACATTCCATACCGAATCTTACTTTCCATGTATAATTCCTATTTGCTGCTGATAAATGCAACCAAAGGCAATGATCAGCAATAAAAATGAACAATGTGAGCTTTATTTTTCACCTGGCTAAGAAGCTGTCTTGCTACAGTGATAAAATGATTATTATGAGATCAGGTGGATGTTTGTACAGGGGAGAGAATAACCCGAGAGAATAGATTACCTGCCAATTGGAGGGAAGTAGAAGCAAAGCTAATTTTTGTTTAGCATCAATCAAGTTTTGCATTAATGTTTAATTTTTACCTTCCACTTCCAGAATAAAGCCATTGCTACACCAGTGCAAGGTGTCTGGGACATGAGGAATAAACAATTTCACACTGGAATTGAAATAAAGGTTTGGGCAATTGCCTGCTTTGCTCCCCAGCGCCAGTGCACTGAAGTTCATCTTAAGTAAGTGTGTTGTATAAGGTGGTGATTTTATCATTTATTATGGATGCAAATGTCATGATTTCACTTTTATTAAGAACATATTTTTGGCTAAATTGTTTAACATATGGCAATACATCTTCTGTGTCTTTGTGCTTTGAACGACACCAGTCTGATTTCAATACCAGCATTAGGAAATCCTCCAAATCACACTTAACAAAAGCCATTTCTGCTCTATGGCAGGTTTCTGACCAGTAAGGCCTTAGGACAGGGTTTAAGATAACTGAAATGATGTAATGATGGGTCTTTATCACTAAGTGTTTCTTAAGAGTGACTGCTGACATTTGTGTTCTCTTAGGTTCCTTTCCTGGTTATATGGAGTAGATTTATTCATGCAGAATTTCTTTAAAAAGGAAATTTTTGGTCCAGACCTTTTCCTTCTCAGAGTTTCTGGAACGTACAAGTTGCTGTATTTGCCAGATGAGTAGGACTGGTTGTTCCATTGACTTTAAGTATTTGAATGAAACTTTCAGATTTGTTTTCTCTGTCTTTGGATGGGACATGGTAGTTCATTACAGTGACACCTGCCATTGGCTCAGGGAAGATGTGCAGGCCCAGATCAATGTCTGATCCCTCCTTCCACATGCAGCTGCTTTCCCTTCATGCATGGACAAGTGCAGCCTGTGGAGCTGCCCTGGCAGTGACACAGCTGCTCTCTGGGAGGTGAATGCAAGGCAGGGATTGCTGGCACTGGTGGCATTGCCATGGCAGTGTTCCTTCAGATGATTTGCCAAACAGCTTGGGAATTTTTCCTTAACAAGTGATGAGCAAATAGTGGGAATCTTTTTACTTTACTCCCATTGTGTGAGGAGGGGAGGGACTTGTTCTCTCCAGGCACATGTTAAGAATTGGGCTGCCAGAGAACTTCCCCTTCCCTGATGTTGCTTCTAGTGGAAATGCTGTGTAAACGAAGTTACTCAGTTTTGAGAAATAGGCAGAAGTCTTCAACATAATGAGCCAAAATAAAATTATTTGGATGGCTTAGAATGAGTTTGTGTTTGCCATGAAAGGCTATTACTTCATGCCTGGAAAATGTCTCTATCCCATTCCATCTTGTGGCTTCTTGTTACATCTTGTTGAGCAAGTTGAAACTCGAATGCTGCTGATTCGTCGGAGTAAAAACCTTCAAATGCTCTCAAAGTCTTCAAAATCATCCTGCTTTACCTCTTGGGAACAGAGAGAGAACCTTTCCTTGCAGGCACTGTACTTCCAGATGGACTTTTAAAGGACTCAAACCCTGAGTTGTTTCAGACTTGAATGTTGAAATCACTGAGGGTTTTGGGTAGGAAGGGACCTTAAACATCATCTTGTTCCAACTCCTCTGCCAAGGGCAGGGACACCTTCCCCAAGACCAGGTTGCTCCAAGTCTCATCCAGCTGGGCCTTGCACACTCCCAGGGATGGGGAGATGTTCTGCCACTGACTGCTGTAGTGAGTGCTTGTTTTTCCAGAGGGAATACCCATTTTCTGCAAGGAGCCTCAGGCTGCAGGGCTGAAGCTCACAGTCTGTTATGATTCATGCAAGTTAACAATGGGTTTGGAAGAAGCTAAATCTTCGCAGCCTCTCAGTCAGTGGCACCCTGTGGTGAAGATGAGCAATGTTTTAGACAACTGTGGGGGGGAGTACCCACTCCAACTTAAGAAAAAGGGCTTTTATCTGTGAGTTAAAAAGGCTTGCAGGTGGAAACCTCTGAAGAAATTTGGTTGTCTCCATATCTCACCACTTTCATCAAAGGGTGACATTTTTTTCACCAGCCTAGGAGAAGGTTTGCCTTCACCTCCAGGATACACGTTTTCTCTGGTATCTATGAAATTGTGCATTGCTATGGATGCTAAAGCAATTCCCTGAGACAATTGCTGGTAATTTCTCTTGGTTGTTTTCATCATGAAGAAAAAAGAGAAGAACTCCAACCCTTTCTGTAGTGGTAACAGATGGAATTATGTTAGAGCAGTCTATCCCAAATTGTCATTGTTGCAGTCTTCTTGCAAAAAGTATTTTATCCTGTATTCCCCATAGAAATAAGGTAGATTTTGCTTTGGAAATGAGGTTTATTTTGTTAATGGTGTTATTTGTACAGCATATTTCCTGTCTTTCTTTCAGTGACTACACAGTCAATTGTGTAGTTAATTGTCAATTAAAGATGCACTTGGGGTTAAATTCCCAGGTTTTTGGACAGCACAACTTTGGAAGTTTACCAGGGTTGTTCCATTAAAAATAAGATCAAAAATCAAGGTGGGTTTTTATTGTCTGATAATGTAATGTATTGATGTGCATTCCTCAGGTCCTTCACAGAACAGCTGCGGAAGATTTCCAGGGATGCTGGAATGCCAATCCAGGGGCAGCCCTGCTTCTGTAAATATGCCCAGGGAGCCGACAGCGTGGAGCCCATGTTCAGACACCTCAAGAACACTTACACTGGGCTGCAGCTTGTCGTGGTCATTTTGCCTGGAAAAACACCAGTCTATGGTCAGTGAGTGGAAATGGTGCATTTCAGTCACAGTTTTGTGTGTTTTTTGTGAACTATACAAAGCAGAGAGGTTTAATGCTGGTTTAACTCTATAAATTCCAGTTAGAGAATGGGTTGTAAATAAATTTTACTATTTTTCTTGTGCTGCATGATGTTTTATATTAAGACCTAATTATTTTCAGTAGGTTGTCTATGCTTTTACTTTTCTTTTCCCCATTCCCTGTGCTGGTTGCATTTGAGAATCAGGTTGTGAGAAAGCAAACACAGGGCTTTGGTGAGATTGACATTGATAGGCAGTGGATTATAATATCCTTAATAAAACTCTTGTGCTGAAAATTCCAAGTGATTGAAGAGGTAATGACTTCAAGAGCTCTGTAGCTTTTAGAACATCTTTGCTTAGTTGCACAATTTGCCTTTGGCAAAAAAATGTTGAGTGAAGGAGATTTCTGTCTATTTTTCTTATTATTTCAATTTTTTTAACTCAGGTTGCAAGGATACAGGTGCACAGAAGGTCAAAATTCAGCAAACTAAACTGTTTTTTATATAAAGTCTCAATTAGTGTGTTCTACATGGCAAACGCACATGGGTTTTAATAGGTTTTATATAAACCATGCATTTTCCGGCTCTTCCTATAGGCAGAACTGCTGGTTTTCCTGTCCTGCCTCCCTCCTTTTTTTCATTTACTTTGCCCAGCTGGAGCAGCAGCAACAATTTTTCTCCCATAGTTACATGGACTCTTCTCTGATGGATCAAATCTGCCAAGCACTTGCATATTTGTTTTATCCCATCCCTCGCCATTTTAATATAGCACAAAATAATTTTCCAACTTAATATTATCTCTTACAAGATGAAAAGAGATTAAGCAAGGAACCTTAAGGAAATAGTACTTTTTTCCCCCTTGAATTCAGCCTGCAAAGGAAGTGGCTCATCTCTAATTTGTACAATAGAAATTTGGTGCAAAATGACATTTTTACTATTCCTGTTTGGCATTAAAAAAGAATTCTTTTCCTCTACTTCAGCACTGAGAGGATGTGGTACTGCTCTCATATTTTTTCCTTGTCATTATCTTTAATTACAGTTATTTCTTCCCCCTCTAATCATCTCTCCTTATTTTCTCCCTACGCTCTTCCATACCCTGCACTTCCTATACCCACAGTCTTTCTTTTCTCTTCTTCCCACCCTGCTCTTTCCCTCTCCTGTTGCCAAAGAGGGTGGTTCATCTTCTCTGAGCCAGTCCTGGAGCCTAAATTTCTTCCCTGAGTGTAAGAGTACGTAGGTCTCTGAAAGCCTTGAAGTCTCAGTTTTGTTAACAATAGGATTTTATTTAACCTTTGGAACTGTACAGTACTTAATGAGTTTCTTGAAGTTTTTATGGACTTGCCACTTTTCTGTGCAAGTGATAAAGGTGCAGAGAAGAACTGATAAACTGCTTGGCTGAATATTGCTCAGCACTTTACTGTTAGGTTTGTGTTACTATTCCAGAGTTTAATAATGCAACAAGTGCTGAGTATCCTTAATATCCACGTTGCCCACATCATTAGCCAAAGCTGATGATATAATGCTATAGTTGTAAAATAAGAGTTAATTAAAAAATTCTTAGTTAATATAAGCCAACAGTGCCTTTAATTATTGCATTTAGGACCCAGTTAAGTGGAGCAGAGCAGAACTGAGTGGGTTTGGGGTGTAAGTTTCATTGTGTTCCTTTAAACTTGAGCACCACTTTGCTAAAACTCCAGGTGTAGTTAATTGGCACCGAATTCAAGTCTCCCCCATTGTTTTATTTGCAATTTGCAAATCTTTGTTTTTTGTTTTTCTCATTCTGTAGCGGAGGTGAAGCGCGTTGGTGACACGGTGCTGGGAATGGCCACTCAGTGTGTGCAGATGAAAAACGTCCAAAGAACAACACCACAAACTCTGTCCAACCTTTGCTTAAAAATAAATGTCAAATTAGGAGGTGTAAATAACATTCTACTTCCACAGGGAAGGTAAGTTCATCTTTCAAAGGGGAAGAGGTTGTTGTATTGCAGAGAACGTGCGTCATGCTGAGACAACTGGGAGCTTTTATCTGCAGCCATAGCACTGTAGCTTAAGTGACTCTTCAGACAAACTCTCTTTTGGCTTCTAATAAATAGTCCTGCAAAAGTTAGGTTATGAAGACAGGAGAGGAATACTTGTTTCTGTTGAAATTTATAATTAAAGTATTGTTTTAATGATCTGACCGCTGAAGTGCACAACTGCCACTAGAATGCCACTAGAATTCTATTTGCCTTGAGTTTTCAAAAACAAATAGGGACCACCTGGAACAGTAGTGCCTTTTCTTTTGGTCAACATTCTTCTCTTTGAGACTCTTAACCACAGTGGAGACATGAGCCTGCATTGGGTCATGGACTGTGCTCTCAAAAGTTCTGAATTTGCTGACTGTGAAACCCACTGTCTCTCAGGTGTCCTCTGCATTCAGTGGAGTATTGGGATGGCCCTGGATGTGCCAGCATCCAGAACATTTACCCTGTGCACCTGACCTTGTCAGTCCTTGTGCTGTCCATCCCTCCCAAAAAGTACCTCTAGTACTACCACTTCTCTCAGCTGTTGGATCCCTTCCTCAGGGGTCTTCCAGGGCATTCTGTGATGGTGATCCTGCATTCTGTCTCTCTGAACAATCCTCTCTTACATTCCTTAAAAGCTGTTCCCAGAGAAGAAGGGGCCCTGGCTCCCAAAACCCAAGCAATACCCATGTCCTGGGTCAAGGATGGCTCAGCTGGAACCTGAACAGCTGCAATATCTGGGTCCATGGCTGCACCATTGGAATTTCCCTCTTTGAGACAGGGACAGGGAGGGCTTCCCAGCAGCTGGGGAAGAGCCTCAGCACCCAGCCTGTCTCTTCCATACCCCCATCCAATCTGGGTGGTTCATTGCTGAGATGGGCAGTGGGGCAGGGCCCCCTGCTCTTTGGCAGCATCCCAAGTCTCTGGGGTAGACATCAGGGTGGCAGTCCCACCTTATCTCTAAATGCTAAATAGATAAGTCCTATCAGCAATGCCAGCCATTGTATGATATCAGCATCTAGAGAAAAATTTGAACGTTTTGAAAGGTGGTGGGGTGCATCCAAAGAAGTGGGTGAAGGATTGGAGAAAAACTCCCCCCTGTATTGCTTCCTCACAATGGGCACCATTATTAATGAAACCCCACAGATATGAACTTAGTCTGTGGTAGTTGTACAGCCATGTGTCCACATTCCAGAGGAAGTTTACAATCCAGGAATTGCTCACCTTATTGACCTGTTGTGCAAACTGGATTGCAGCCACAGTAGCCTTAGTCATAGCATCCATATTTAAATATGGAGCTGCAAATGGGGAAAATGTAGCCACAACCATGTGCCAACCAAACCAGGCTAAGTTAGACTACGTGGTGCCTAACAAGGTTTCTGTGTTCTGCACACAGAATTAGGTTACCCAGGAACTATTATTCCTTTTTCACCATTTCCTTTCAATGCCCTCAAGCCCCACACTGGGCACCAAAAACTGTGCTGGAGACAGGTGTCTGCCAAGGAGGGTGGGAATCTTCCTGGAATGGACAAGATGACCCCCTCCCTCCAAATTATTTTAACTTTGGGGGCTTTCAGGCAAAGATGTGGGTAAGGGAATAACAGGTTTTTTACCAGGAAATATATATATATATATATATGTGTGTGTATATATATATGTAGGCAAACAACAATAACAGCAATAACAAAACACAAACAACAAGAAATTAACAGAATTCCAAGACACCCAGCTATGTTTTTTGTCTCCTAAGTACAGTCCATTCATCATCTCTTAGGCAACAAATGGGAAGAAAATTTCCTGAGAGAAAAAAAAAAAAAAGAAAAAACCAAAGAAGTCTAATCCCCAGCATTACCTTCCCCTTTCTTTTAAAGAAGGTCTGCAAACCGATTAATTTATCTCCATAACTATTAAATCAATCCCCCACACACCCAGAAAGAAATTATGGTGGCCCAAGATTTCCTGTTTGAAATTGTTTTAGTAAGGAGTAGAATTGAAGTTTAAAACTTGTGTTGCAGTGCTTTGGTGTTCCTGTCTTTGTGCAGTGGTTTAATCTCTTAACCTAAAGATCTGTTAAAAACTTTCAAGCTCAGTTTTTTAAAAAAAATCTGCTTTGAAAAGAATAACTTTGATACCTACTATTTTTGGACTTCCTTACCGAGACTGTTTTTTATTTGGAAAAATATTTTTATTCATAGCATCTGCATATGTGCACAGTCATTTAATTTTCTCAGATGCCATTTGTTACTAAGGGATCAACTTTTACTCCTTTCCATAGTCTAGTTGATAAAAACTGGAATTGTTAAAGTTAGAAAAAACTAAATATATTTTTAAACTAATTTTTAATTAAGAGGAACAATTAGCTGTGCTTTAAAAATCTGTCTAAGTATTTAGCATCAGGATTAATTAGGATTTTTAATTACTGCCACAGGACAAGTGACCAACTCTGATCAAGTGCCAGTTGTTGATGAATTCACTGCAGGAGTACAAGTGCTGTTTATTTGAGTTTTAATGTGCTTTATTAAGCATAAATCTTGCTGCTTTTACAAATTTCCTTTCTCTTTGCCAGACCCCCAGTATTCCAACAGCCTGTCATATTCCTTGGTGCAGATGTAACTCACCCACCAGCTGGGGATGGGAAAAAGCCTTCCATTGCTGCAGTGAGTAAATTGTGTCCTGGTCTTTAACCCTAGCTCCCTCCTGCTGCTCAGCTCTAATGCATTTTATTGCTTTCAATCCTTTTGTGGTCCATTGCTTCTGATTGCCTAATTATAGGATTATAAATTATTTTTCTGCAGGAATTCATTGAAACTTCAGAGAGCTTGCTCTGATGCTAATTACTTAAATGTGTGTATTAGCTTGTAAAATGCCTGAGTTGCTGATACACAGAGGAGCTTTTCTGGAAGCTGATATTTTTCAGCAGCCTGATAATGAGCTGGTGCATGTTTAAATCTGCGTCTTCAGCACTTAGAAATGTTCAGAATTTCTTCATTGCTGATAGGGAGCTAGGCTGGCTCAGCTGTGGTTTCTGGGGACTCAAGCTTCCAGAAAACACAAAATGTGCACTAATGTCTTGGAAATGTACTTTTTAAATACAGGGAATGGTCTTTAGCTTGTGTTATGTCAAGCACCTGTAGTGGCTGCTCAGGATTGTTTAATAAGGAAGATCTTTGGTGATGTTATGTATCTGTATTAAAAACTTTCACCTGTGTGTCCAGACAAAACCAGGTGGAGATGTGCTCACTTTTTTAGTTTTTTTTGTTTATTCTTAAGTCCCATGCCACTTTAACAGGATATAGATGCTAACATTTCATTTACAGAAAAATCCCTTCCCTTGACAAAGGGTGTGGATATTTCTGAGGCCCATCACCATTTCAGTTGGATGGATCCAAAAAATGAGCTTGGTGTCTTTGAGTTCAAACTCCTGTGCTGTACTCTGAACTAACTTAATGGTTTTATGGCATCAGTGCTCCAAACTGTATTTGAGGTTTAAGTGCCTGTAGGTGCAAACAGGATATGAGTCTTTTAGATTTAAAACAAGTTTTCTCTTTCAGCAGGGTGTACTGCCACAGGTGGACTAAACCCACAGCTGTTTCCATGCACATTTTAATTCCAAATACATCTTTGTCAAGCCAGCCACTCAGTGTGATAGAATTAAAGACAGTGCAGTTATCTCACAAAATACTTCTATTAAAGTGCTTTTTGGTTTGATGCTGAGCATTTTTTCCCCAGGTTGTAGGAAGCATGGATGCTCATCCCAACCGTTACTGTGCCACCGTGCGGGTGCAGCAGCACCGCCAGGAAATCATCCAGGATTTGGCTGCCATGGTCAGGGAGTTGCTTATCCAGTTCTACAAATCAACGAGATTCAAACCAACTCGCATCATCTTCTACAGGGATGGTGTTTCTGAGGGGCAGTTCCAACAGGTGATATTGGTCTTTTTGAAATACTGATGGTGTAGTTTTGTGGTAGGAATGGAATTTTATAATAACACCTTTAAGTGGTTGGAGTTACAAAAAGTACAACCTCAACAAATCTTCCCTCAACAAATTTGTTGGATTCTAACCAAGCAGGCAGGAGAAGTGTTTCTGTATTTTTCATGTGCTTTTGAGAATACTTTTCCCCTTTAAAATATTTCCTCTTACAAAATTATAAGTGAAAAGTGTAGTCTTAGCACTCAAGTTATGTTCCACATCTGTTTCCTATTTAAGATATATTAGTCAGACTGTATCCTATAGAACTTCAGCAGTAAAGAAAAATGAATTTTTTTTTTTTTTTAACGAGGATTAATAAATACTGGATTTTCAGTCATTTTTATTCCTGTTAAAACTCATCAGATACTTTATCATACTTATTTTGTTTGCTTGCTAGTACCATATTTTATGAAATATTTTTCTGTATATTTTAAAGACATTTATATACATGTTTCCAATGTGTAAATAAAAGATTCAGAATTGAGTCAGCTTCTCAAAATCCAGGGGAATAGAGGAAAGGCCACTTGCTAAACTTGAATTGATAAATTCAAGTATGAACTTTTGGTATATCCTTCTTTCAGTTGTCACTGGTTTTCACTGAGTTTTTTCATGTATAATTAACCCACATTCCAAATAGTTGATTTTTTTTTGTTCCACTTTCCTTATTATTGATGTCTGTAGTCCTGCATGGGGCTCCACAAAGCTGAGAAAGAGCAGCTGAGCACTTCTGGATTTTATCCCTTGTCCTAGTCTGAAAAATAATTAGTCTGTTGTATTCAGCAGCCTAATTAAATGTTGATTTGTATTTGGTAGTTAAAAAGATTTTGACATGCAAGTTATTAGTCAGAGCCTTGTGCTTGGAGCTGAACGAATATGGAAGCAGCTCTCTCCTGGCTCAGGAAATTGCTGATGTAATTTGCCCTTATCAGGGGAAGAAATTAAAGTTTTGTCCTGAAAGCTTTGACAACTCATTACTCTGAGTGACAGGGCAAAAAGGAACATGATAAATTAACTGTGGATAAATAAAATAAATATGTAGATAAATAAGAATTATTTGTATGATGGCAATGGTTCATGTTGATCATGTTGGTCTCTTTCTGTGTGTGGCTTAGGTTCTCCACCATGAGCTGCTGGCTATCAGGGAGGCTTGCATTAAACTGGAGAAGGATTATCAGCCTGGCATCACATTTATAGTGGTGCAGAAAAGGCACCACACCAGACTCTTCTGCACGGATAAAAACGAACGGGTACGTTCTTGTTGAGACCCCAAATGTCCAGCAGGCAGTGAAGTCACCAATTACTGTTCATCTGTGGTACTTTCTGGGTGGAGATCAGACTCCCCAAGTTGATTTTTGATACTTTCTGGGTGGAGATCAGACTCCTCAAGTTGATTTTTGGTACTTTCTGGGTGAAGAAGAGACTCCCCAAGTGCAGGAATGGAGATGCTGCTGAGAACGGAGAGTTCCTCATGGCAAAGCTCTGCTCACAGATTGGACTTTCCACGTTCTCCTTCCTTCTGTCAGGCTTCTCCATGGGAGCACTTGGAACCCACTAGGCTTCAAGGCAATAATTAGTATCTCCCAAAGCTGACATGAAGGTGATATATTAATAAATGTTGTGATTACAGATGTTAAATAGTTTGAAAATAAAGAGTATTTTTACGTTCTGCTTTGAAGAGATTTTGAGGGAGGAGGGAAGGGTCTGTCTGACAAGGAAGGATTGTCCCCTCATACAGATATAAACAGGAAAAGTTTCTCCTGTCCTGGAGTGGGAAGGTGAAAAGAATTTGAAAAATCTGTTGCAGGAACTTCTTTTTATGTTCTTCAGAAAAACAAATCTTTTTAGGTAGTTTCTAATAAGGTTTTGCAGCTTTTCTCTTTTTTTCTTTCACCATAGTAAAGACACTCCAGATTTTCAGTTGGAACAAAATTTCAGTTTTGCACATTATTTCTTCACTTTCTGCTTTTTATAGATCTTTTTCTTGTGTTTGTTTTCTTGGCTATACAGCTGAAAAGAAAAAAAAAAAACACCCTTTGTGTTGTGCCTCTATGTCTTTGCATTTCCTGTTTACACAGGTTGGAAAAAGTGGAAACATTCCAGCTGGTACCACAGTGGACACAAAAATCACCCACCCCTCAGAGTTTGATTTCTACCTGTGTAGTCATGCTGGGATTCAGGTAAGACATTTTGTGTGGCATGGTAACTTTTTAACTGTTAATGTTTGTACTAAAGCTATTTTATCTGATGGCTTTTTGTCAGATCTGAGGTTTTCAAGATGAAAGTGCATTTCAGAATTATCATTTAATTTTGGAGGTGAAATTTTGAGAAACACAGTCCTGTTAAAAAAGGGGAATGGATTAGTTTGATAGGGAGCAAGGAAGGAGGTCGTTTGCCTTTGAAAGGAAAAATTAGCTGAAAAGTGTAGAACTGCTGCCTGTGGTTTTGGAGGAAGCGGCCGTTTTGCTGCAGTTCTCCTGCTGAGGTGGAAGTTCAGGAGGTGTTTGGGAATGCTGATGAGCTGTGTGATCTGGCTCCAGGGAACAAGCAGACCTTCTCACTACCACGTGCTCTGGGATGACAATCGCTTCTCGTCGGACGAGCTGCAGATCCTCACCTACCAGCTGTGCCATACGTACGTACGCTGCACGCGCTCTGTCTCCATCCCTGCACCTGCATATTATGCACACCTGGTGGCCTTCAGAGCCAGGTACCATCTGGTGGACAAAGAACACGATAGGTGAGTTTGGAGTTTTGAATTTTTGCAGAACTTGAAGGCAGTGGGCTTGTTAATTCTGGGCTCGGTGTCCTCACTAGTTTGAGGGTGGATTTGCTCTCACCACTGAATTATGCTGCTGAAACAAAGCAGAAGATGTTCCTGTACGTGCTGTTTTCTGTTTCAGAACCTCAGTGGGGCCTTAAGGCCATTCTGTTCAGAGGAAACTAATGATACAGGAACATGTGCAAGGAGAGGCAGATTAAATATGGTTTCTCTTCCCTCCCCCAACCTGTTGGTTTTTGTTTCCCCCCCCTCCCTTCTCTTTCAGTGCTGAAGGAAGCCACACTTCTGGCCAGAGCAATGGCAGAGATCACCAAGCACTTGCTAAGGCAGTCCAGGTGCACCAGGACACGCTGCGCACGATGTACTTTGCTTGACATGTTTTAATGTTCAGCGGCTCCGGACAAGGCAGAGTTGGATTCACACCAGACCAGCTGCACTTAGACCAACAGATGCCCCACCCCAGGGACAGCCAGCAATGAGTGATGCTTCTTTATTCTTTTCTTTCCCGTTTGTAAGGAAGCCTTCCGTCCAGAATTTCAGACTTGATCACAAACTGCATTCTTGTACCAAACCCCACTGTTGTCAGAAATGTGGTTTGCCAAAAATCTCTGAGCTGCTTGGTATAAAACAGACCCAGATTTTATAATTAAATCAAGAGCTGCAATCTCAGGGCTTAGGGAAGAAAACAAAGAACCAAACCAACAACCCAACCCACAAAACTCATTCAGTTTCCTGTTCATTGACTTGCTTTCAATAATTTGGAAATATCTCATTCATACTAAGGTGTGATGAGCTAAAATGCTGTGAATCAGCTTTTAGTACAAAGGAAAGCAAAGCATTTTTTGAGTATTTATGAAGCCTTGATTATTCTAGATGCATTTACAAAATTCTTATTTTCAAAATAAGAGCGTGACAAAATTCTGATTTCTAACTGTCTTAAAAAGAGTATTCTCAGATTATTCTCTGTGTGTCTAAGGGCAAATGTATTTTCTGAAGCTTGTTCTTGAATGTTTTTTATTGTGCTGCATTTTAAAATGTTTTTCATAGACTAAAGATGAACTTAAAAAAAAAGAAAAAAAGCAAAACTGTACCTAAGCTTTTAATAGCTCCAGTTAGATTGGCGGAAGCAAATGTGCCATTTGAAAAAATTTGTAAAGATTTTTTTTAAATCATACTGACAGCTAACTTTAGGATTTGTCATACAGGACTGTGACACTTACTTTCCAAAGTCTCTAAAGAATACGGGTCTGTGGTGATGAATACAGTACAATCCTTTTTCACTGTTGTTTGAGTTAATGTAAATTTTATATATGTTTCACAGTATTAATGTGATAGACTAGATGCTATTATTTATTTTTATTTACTAAGGAGTGCTCATTATACTTCTGTTAACATATCAAGAATGCTTTGAACTTAGAAAAATCCTTTTTGTGAGGACATTACTCTGCAAATGCAAAAAAAATATGCAATTGATGTGGTGAGAGGAGAGAGATGCAGCCAGTATCTGTTGTAGCTTGGGATTTGCAGAAAGGCTTTTTCAACATGCACACAACACAGCAGGTTTTACCTCTGCGGTTCAGACGCACACAAGACCAACATCCTACATTCATTCAAGCACAAAACAATTGTATTTTATTTATATGTTGAGTAGTGGTGAAGCAGGAGGTCTGCTAGAGGAGAGTGGTTTGCTGGAAATAAGGCTGAAGTCAGAGAATCTATGCAGTAAAGATAAAAATTAGGAAACTGAGATTTACTTAGGGAGGTGAAACTCTCTTCATTATGCATAAGATCTGTAGGAAATGTGAGAGTTTTGCCATTCTCTTAGTAGAAGCATTAATTAAAACTGATAATTATTAGACAGATGCTTCTGTTAGTTTGCACACTGGATTCATAAAAACCATAACACACATGTAAACCATTGCACTAATGACGATGCCACGAGCAGGTGTAGGAGAAAACGGAAAAAGCCCAGGAAAGTTGTTTATGCTGACTTGATCTTGTTTGTTTTTCCTTGAGATAACTGAAATAAGATGCTGAGAAGGCAGGCTGGAAAACCTTCATTCTCTTCCACAGATGGATTTTGCTCTTTTCCCTTTTCTCCTAGCAGCTGCTCAGTCCCTGTTTGGACACTTTTACCTCTGGCCACTGGGATGGGCGAGTAGCTTTAACCCATGCAGAGCTCTGGGCCACAGAGCAGGTCAGCTGCAACCAGGTGATGTTGGATAAGCTAGAAAATGCCCAACCTTTGCTGCATAAAGACGTTTAGGTACATAATTCCAGTTCAGACCTTCACCTTGTAGCAGTCTGTTGGTTGTCAGTGTTTCGTAGGTGAAATGTAGAACCTGTTAATGGAATAATCAGATTTGTACTTTTCTAATTGGGTGATTAGGCTGCTGGCTCAGAGTGTCTTCTTGGTCATAGTTCTATAAATTCAGATTTCTGTAAATTTGAAGCAAATCCTAGGTAGCATTGTCTGTCTTGCTGTGTGCCAGCGAGGTTGTACCTACCTCCCCTCAAATACCCCTAAGCTGCAGATCCTCCCCATGGTGGGTGTGTTGCACTTCTCTGTGTTTCCTTCAGAGCTTTCCTATTTCAGTGAAGATATTCATTTGGCAGAGTTTTATATAAGAATTATTTTTATATTAATTCTTCTTATAAAATAGGATAAAGATCATCCATTTTAAGACATCATTTAACTTATTTGGTGTGTGTTATGCAGAGACCTCTTGGATGTGAAATTCATCCCCCTCTTTCCATGCAGATCTGGGACAATAGAATTGTACAGGTGGTCAGGTGGGGTGAGGAGGGCAAGATCTGTCTTGACCTCAAATCTCATTTCTGAAGTAGCCTGGGACTGCACTGCATCCTATTTAAGATGTTTCCTTTGTGAGAAAAGGAGTTTTAGGCAGGCCCTTAATCTGAGAGTAGCTGTTGTTTGTGTATCCTCTTGGAATGAGCAGAAATTCTGTGTAGCTTTTCTTCCCGAAGTATGAAGAACTTGGGATGTTTATGTGCATTTCAGGCCATTTTTACCTTTTACAGATCTTTCTAAGCCTCTGATACTGCTAATTCTTTATGCCTTGTGTCTCCCTCCTTTTCCCTCCCATCAGTGGTGAGCAAGTGAATAATTTAAAGCATTTTTAAAAAAAAAAACTGATTAGGTATATACTTTGTAAAGTACAGCATGCTGGCAGTCCAGCACCTCTTCTGGGAATATTTTTACTATAAATTACATGTTCAAGAATGTATCCTGTCCAAAAAAACCTGCCACAAACACGTAAAATCTCAGTATTATTTTTTCATTCTGTACCTCCCACATGTTTGGTGTAGAACAGCAGCATCTCAGGTCAACACAAAGCTCAAGAAGTCTCAGTCCCCCCATGTTGCTGGTGGAGAAATGCCAGCTGAGGTCACAGCTCTGAGTCTCTGGGTCACTGTGCAGGTCCGGTCAGCAGTAACCAAATTTGTGCCACCCTCTGGCACTTGGGGCATTTTCTAGCCTATGCAAAGGAGTCCCACTGCACAACCCCCACAAAACAGCATCAGCAAGTGTGAAATGCTCCTCTTGGGAGGTGATAAGTACTCTCAGAAGACATGAAATACTTAAAAGTTTGTCTTTTTTTCCCTGATGTGCAAAATCTAATGCAATAATGAGGTTTGCTTAGTGGTGGAAATTTCTGCTCCCGTGGCTGAACAGAGTAACGAGTCCACTCCATCTGTTCCAGCACCCAGGAAACAACTGAGCTGATCCTTAGGAGCAAATGTTCTGTTGGGAAATGCTGGAAGGAAGTGGATTTGTCTCTGCCTTTATGTGGCATTTAAGACAGCGCTGTGCAATTTAACACTTGGGTGTGTGTATGCACTGATGTACAGAGTGAGATCACTTGTTTAATTATTAGAGCTCCTTATTTTGGCTTGGTTTGCTTTAGAGTATTTGACTTTGTGAATTACAATCAATGATCTTCCATATTCCAGAGGCTTTGGCACAGGAATTCCCTCATTTATTGACCTGTCAGGTAACAAATACCTTTGATCTCCATCCAGGCCCCCCAGGCAGCATTCTGATTGTGAAAGCAAAAAGGTTATGAAGGTTTGGCTTTAATTCTGCCTCTCTCAATAACTCCTGCAGCTTTTGTCTGTTGTAACAGAGTCTTGTTGGATCATTTTTATAACATAAGACAGGAGGTTTTTCCACAAGGATTTTCAAATTAAAACGTCTGGAGAGTAGGTGTGAAGAGTTTAGTTTTTTTTTTTTCTGAAAAGATTGAAGTTTCCAAGATGCTTCTAAATTTTTCTTTCTAACTAAAGTTTTTCATGTATGTGCCCAAAAGCTTTTGATTAAATAGCAGACACAGTCAAATAAGCATCTCTGGTGGCATAAATAACCCATAAGGGCCTTTTTTTTTTCTTTAAGACATCTTTTACACATTAACTAAATGAATGTAAGAAGAGTTCTCAGTATTTTTTACACTTGAAACCAGTGTAATTAGACTCAGTTGTTTTCCTCTTTTTTAATATTCTTCTTCTGCCATAGCATCTCTTTGTGTAGTTTTCCCCATTCCTAATGCAGGACAGTCCTTTGTATTTTACTTTTATATTCCATTTGGTAACATGCTTCTTGATGCACACATGCCATCTTTCTTAAGGAAAACTTCAAGTAGAAGGTAATTGCACTGATTTTTGGGTTTTTTTAAACTCCCTTTTTACTGTAAGAATTTTAATCTTTTTTTTTTTTTTTTTTTTTTTTTTTTTTTTTGCATCTCCTGTAGCTGTTTGAAAATACTGTAAATAGTGCTCTGCACAGCAAATACTGAAATGCTGGGGATGCCATTCCTTGTTATATTTTCCAGAATACTGCCACATTTTCCAGTGTTGAGATGGGAGCTTTGGTGTTAAATGCTGTTATACTTTGTGTGCACTATGGTATCAATCCAAGAAGGGCACAGTTGCTGTATTACAGTGGAAATACCTAGGGTTTGCCTGAATTTATAAAGCATTTCTCCCTTCTCTCCTCTGTGCACATTTCTCCCAGACCACAGAGATGCAGTTTTTTAGCTCTCACTGTGCTCATTGTCTGTGCAAGGCTCAAATGCCACCTTTGGTATGAGTTTGATGACTGATGGCATTAATGTAATATTTGGATTATCAGCTGTAGCTCTCACAGGTTTTCCTTGCTTGTCTGATTCTTGTGTTATAGAAGCAGAATCAGTGGATGTGGCAGAATCAGTGGAATTGCAGGGATTTGGGATCCAGTTACAATGTCTTGCTGTCTGTCCCTGCATGGTGTGGGATTGGGCAGTGCCATGGATGTTTCAGTGCTCTGAGCTAAGGAATGGTGTCACCTCTGCCTGCCCAAGGATCTCCCATCCATCAGCAATCGCCTTTTGCTTCCATAACCCTCAGGGACAGGACAGACCCAAACACTAGCCCCTCTGTCTGATGTTAGGATGCAAAACAGCAAATTCTGCCTTCTGTTTCTGAGGGTTAATGACTGGAAAGATGTATTTCTGAGAGGGTTTAATCCAAATTATATGGGAAGGGGGTGCTGTGTGTGCTTGGTGTGGCACAGAATCTGTTTAATCCCATTTAGTGTTTCAGTTGCTTTGTCATTCTTTGAAGTGTTAATTTGTAATTGCTTGGCCAAATCACTACCAAAGTGGGTTTGTGAGAATCTTAGTTACAAAGCAGGTGCAGTTCAAGGCTACCTCCTGTGTTCCTTCATGGAAGAATTAATTGAAGTGAACCTCCCACTAAGCAGCCAAAATGCTCCCAGAGGGACTGGATTTGTCCTGGTCTGTTCCCTATTGGGAAGTGGCAGTGCCATACTGTGATCCTGGGAGGCAGCTCAGCCTTCCCTCTGTCTTCCAGAGGCATCCCTGTGTATTGAGAGGGTATTATGATTGCCTGGAGAGGTTACCTAGAACAGAGGTTGGACAGTGTTAAAGGAATAAAGTGGGTATTTATTAAAAGGCCTTCAAAGGACACACCTTGGGCAGTACAGGAGCCTGGCTGTGGCTCCACCCAAGATGGACACTGGGTCATGAGTTTTCACACTTTTATGAATTTTGGTCCATTTCCATATTGGGGTTAATTGTTCAATTACAGCTTCAGGTGATGAAGTTCCATCCTCCCAGTTTGCTCTCCTCAATTTGCTGTTGTTTGTACTTTTTGGGCCTGAAGCTGCAATGGTGTCCTTGGTTCTCGGGCTGAAAAAGGATTGTTTTGTCTGAACTGTGAAGAGAACTTGCTAACACTTGAAGTTCAGAGTTATAAACTAATGCAGTACAGAACCTGGAAAATTTGAAAGCCAAAACTTAAGGCATCAACCAGACCTGGCAAGTGGTTGATGCCTTAAGTTTTAGCTTTCATATTTTGCCATATTCACATCTGGCACATCTGCTTCTGGTCAGGTTCACTCCGTAGCAGCAGCTCCCTCTGTAACCTGTCCCTTCACTTGAGTTTCCAAATGAAAAGTGTTTCTGTACTTTACCTGTTGGCCAGAAAAAGTTAGGTTTTCTCTGCAAATGACATGAAGATGCTTGAAATGTATTTTGAGTTGCAGGCAAAAAATAGGTATTGGATTATTTTTCTTAATGTGTTTTCTAGGTAAGTTGATATGCGACTGTAAAAATGAAAAAACTTTATTCCCTGCTCAGAAAACTATAAACTTTAAAATGTGGGGAAAAAACCTCCAAAGCAAAACACCAAAGAACAACCCCAAACCTGAGTATGTTCATCTTGGGACTACTTAGTGTCAGTTCTGTGCAAAGCCTTGGCCAAAACTCAACCTTGACATAAGTCCACATGGACTGAGGGTGCTTTAAATGACCTGAAATGAAACTGTAGAAAGCTGTGTTAATAGATCAGATTTTGTTTACAATTATTCCAAACAAGCTTCCTCATCTCAGAACAAACCACTCTGCTGACAGGAATACCTGTTGGAGCAGAGTGTGCTGTTGTGGTTTCGTAGCAGTGTTAAAGTTGATTTGTATTTACAAGTAACTGGGCTTTCTGCTGTGAATTTTGGCCTATCAGAGTGAGTTTCCTGGGATTCTGTGCTCCCTGCAATTTCCTTCCCTTAATCTCTGGGTCTAGATACTAATGAAGCTCCTCTATGGCAGGAGGATTGCTGGTGTTCTGACTTTCTGGAAGCCAGATTTTGCAAGTGACTGAATAAATCATTCTAAATCAGCTCATTAATAACTGAATGGAGTAAAATCCTGTCAGTTTGGTCCAGTTCTCAGTCATGATTTAACAAAGCCCCCCCAAAAGTGTGAAGTGCAGGATGAATGTCTGCTTTGGAGAAGATGTTTCACTACATATTGTGCGCTGCAGATTGTGGACACTATTGCTGGCAGGGTTTGTGCTGTGCAGAGATGCTGAACAGCTCCTCTGTCATTGATGGGAGCAGAGTTTTGTGTTTTCCAGACAAGGCAGACCTGGGATCATCAGGAAGTTCAAGGAGTGATGAGCTCCATGCTGGGTGCTGCTTGTGCCCCAGAGAACAGAAGCACTGGGTACCCCAAGCCTTGGGGAAATGAGAGAGGAAGTGAGGGGAGACGTTTTCTTGCCAAATTGCCAGTTTAAGCACTTGTTAAGGTGACAGTTTAATTCTTAGATTTCCTTCTGGCTTCCCTGCAAGTGCCCCTCAGAAATCCTTCACCCTGCACCCATCTGCTGGCCCATCCCTATTGGGGAAGGTTGGCAGGGAGCTCCCCAAGTCGATCTGTGGTGTCAGGGAGCTCTGCTTTGGTTGGGGCCAGGACAGGGGCCCTGCTGGATCTGGAGGGATGAGAGGTTGGCAGGAGTCAATTGTGAGAGTTCTGCATGTGGCAGCACTACAAACCCACAGCACCAGGTGCAGGCTGTGGCTGCTCCCTCCTCCCATCTAAATACCCCTCAAAAAGCAATTCCTTTGGATTTGTCCATGCGCTGCCTCAGCAGATCCATCGTAAACCTGCCTGTGCCTGCTCTTCCACCAACCAACCTCCCTGTGTGCTTTGAGAAGCCTTGGGTTGCATGGCAGTTCTGTATTAAAGGGAATAATCCTTTCCACAGGGTTCTCAGGAGTGCACAGGTTTTAGCTGTATTTTTTTTCCCACATTTTGGATGTGCTGTTGAACCATGGACTTGAATTTTGTTTTTTTTTTTTTTCCTCCCTTCTTTAAGCACAGCTAAACCACCTGCTGGAACAGCTGCTCTCTGCTCATCAGCAGTGATTGCAAGCCTAGGAGTTGTCCCCAAAATATAAATGTAAACTTTCCTGGTCATTTTATGGGTTTTTTTTGAGTGTGCTTGGCAAGCATGAATGGTGAACAGGTCAGCAAGCAAGCTTAGGAATCTCTAATCCCCTGGCTGGTGCTGTTTGTGTTTGCTTTGTTAGGTTAGATTTCCTGTCAGAAAAAAAAAAATATATATATATATATAATGTGGACTCTTCTCTGTATTTATCAGTTTTTCCTGGTTTTAAAGCCATGAATAGAGGAAGTTTCACTCATGCTGGTTTTTATGAAATTGCACATTTTTGCCTGACGTGTACTTGACTCAAAGCAGATCCTGTCTGGGGTTTATGGGCACCCCAAAACCTCAGCTGCTGTCGGTTGGATCAGACCTCTCATGTACCAACATGACATGCAGTGAATTTTGTTTCTAGATTTCACCAAAGTTAGTTCTGCACCAACTATGATGTGCTCAAACCTCACTGTTTCATAGCACTGTTTCTGTGCTTTTAAAAAATAAGGATTTGACCCAAATTTTGTCCTTCCTGATATATTTTCTTGTGAAACTTAACGACTGAACCCTTCAATTGCTCATCTCATTTACAAATGAAAACTTCGTAATTGCATTTTAAAGAAAATAAGAGTAAAAAAACCCAACTAAACAAACCATCAAAAAGCATTAAGGAATAAGTTTTAGATTTAGATTTATCTTGGAAAATCAAATTTTCAATGAGGTGCAATTATATCTGGCAAAGTTGTGTGTTATCCTGAAGAGTGTTTCCACTTCCTTTCTGTAATTTGTTGGTGAAGTTTAGTAGATTTTCTAGGTCTGTGTGTGTCCTTTTTTTGTGTGTGTACACAGGTGTGTGACAGGACAGCGGACAGTGTATAGGCTGGATGTAAAGGATACAGAGGCAGTATTTGGCTGGAAATAACAAGCACAATTTCCCTGGCTTTTGCAGTTTATTAGTTGTACAATCACAAAGATTTCAGCGTTCAGGGCATTTGATAAGTAAATATCTAGTCCCAGATTTCTGTGCAGCAGTGGTTGAAAACAGAATGTATTGATTAAATCTAATTTTTTTTTGCTTTAATTTTGGTACATTACAAAATTAACTGACTTTATCTGTTAAGGTTTTATTAATCTTTTGTTTTAATAGTGTCAAAACTTTTTTTAAATTATTTTTTTATAAAATAATTAAAAAAAAAAGAACCAAAAATCAATCCAGAAGCTTTGTATTGTATATGTTCTCTCCAATCAAAATGATCGTGTGACCATTTAAAGTTTGCTTTCTTTTTTTTTTTTTAAGGAAAAAAGATAAGATGTTAAGGTTGTTCCAAGTGGTACTAAATGTGTGTTGAGTAGTTTTGTGTGTGTGTTGCATTTCTGTGGAACTGTCTCGTGCTTGCAGTATAGAAATGACTCATGCTGGCTGGGTAAGAGTAGCACTTGTAATGCAAAACCAGGCCCAGAATTACCCTCGGCTGACTCTGAAGGGCATCCCTGGCACTGTG